TGTAATTTCTCTCGATCACAGCACTCAATGCAGCGAGGTTCAAAAGCGATCATGGGAGTTAATTACGTTCAAAAGAGAGCCGCAGTTTCATCACACGAGACGACGGTGAGGATTAATGGCAGGCGTCACAGAAAAATCCAATAGAGGAGTGATTAGCATTCCTCGGAGATGGTCGAAGATTCGGAGCATTGCTTGATAATCGGAGCGTATTACTCTGCCGCAGCTTGACACACAACATGTAATTTCATCCCAAAGGGAGAGTAGATTCATCACGGTACAAGGGGGTGAATCATTTTTAGGAGCATTATTATGAAAAGGTCCCGTTGTCCTTGATCCGCATGCGTTAGCACCGCGGAACAAAGGGATGCTGATACGTCTCTGTGGCAGCGTCACCAAGAGTATTCTTCTGAATTTATTGAGCTCGTTTAATGTGACCTTAAACATGGCGAGCTGACAATAATGGCTTAATAATAATGTTATTATCTTGACCCTCGATGTGGGTGACTTGTTAAAGTGATTGATAGTATTCAACAGCGCAGAAGCCGCTGACAATCAGGGCACTTTGGAATTATTCTAATGTGGAGCAGAGACAGTGACAGAGACAGAGGAATTCAGTGTAAATGACATAAGGACACTGATCACACCTGATATTCTGTCCTGGGTGATCTGATCACAGGTGTGGACACATCCAAGACACATTGAGGATTCCAGTGTGTCCTGGGATCCGAGCCCGGCCTAACGGGTCAGGGGTCTGGTTCGGATGATATTCAGGTAAAAAAACAAACAACAGAATGCCTGTCAGGCTCCAGAAGTTTTCTGGGACGAGTTTATTGGTGTTTAATTTGTTCTCCACTGTCTCATATCAGGTTGTTAAGCTGCCGTCCTCACTCTTGTCGAACGGAGGCTGTCGCACCTTGATCGATTGATAAACTCTCCACTAAGTTCACCAGCAAGTTGCAAGCTTTTAAAGCTAAATCAACACTAACACATTTAAGTTTTTTAAAACCCATCACTGACGCAGAACGAGAGGTTTGGAGCTGTTTGCTGTGAAACTTGAGTCTTTTGGAAACACGGACAGCGTCTTCCACTGTGTCACTGCTTCCTGATTGGTTCTGATCAGTCATGAATCGACTACTAGAGGTGAATACCAAGCGTAATACAACACTCACTGTTCCAGTTGCACCTTTTCATAAATCCAAGAAAAGACTATTGTTGTTTCTTATTCGTTGTATTTTCTGTAATTATCCAACCAGCTGCAGAGTGGATCAGCTTCCTGTTTACACCAGGCCACACATGACCAGTGTGTGTGAATCAACACGTGAAATGTTTTCTGGTGTTGTTTCAAAACAGTTTTAAAACTAAATGTCATAGTTTGTATGTGACGCTGGGGATGGAGCCTCCAGTGGAGCATTTCGTTGTATTTGTATTATGTGCTTGTACTTGTACTACGTGCAGTGATAATAAAGTTGAATCTAATCTAATCTATTAGGATGAAGGTGTTTCCCAGTTGTTGATGGGATCAAACCATGAAGCTGTGGGTTATGAAATCAAACCAATGAGCTGAAAACAGATAAAAATATCTCTTACACGTCCTGTTAGTCATTTGAGCTATTGTTGCTATAACTCTGATTAGTGCAGCTTTAAAAATAAAGAGCAAGCACAGCATGTCACAGCATGAATCCTGCTCAGCTAAATGTTTAAGTTAAAGATGTCAGTCCTGGCTGAATGGCCTGTTACCAAAAATCTGTCACAGTTACTTGTTCAACTAATATTTGAGTGAGAGAAAAAACAAAAAAATATATAACACCAAGTAAAATCTAGCACCATAGTCTGGGCCAAAGGAAACTGGTAGTAAGTGTGATCGCACCCTTACATATTTTCCTTTTGACCATTTATACAGTTATAAAAATAACCTGCTGGTTCGCACCCGTACTGCACGGAGCAGTTCTGCTGTTTTCACCGAGGAGGAGTCTGTGAATAGTTTTTATAAACCATCACTTCATAAACCAACCAGCGTCTGAATTTGTTGCCTTGAGTGCAAGTCTTGACTTCGAAATTACCGCATCTGCATACAAAGTAGAAATTTATCAACTGCTCAGCTCCGAACTTCAATTTCCACTCAGATGAGGCAACAACACGAGAAGACGTCGAGCGTCTGCTTCGAAAAACCTTTGGCTCAGAGCGAAGTCGCTGCACCTCACTCGTCCCTTTGTTTCCTCCTACACACACACACATGCAAACGCCGGGCGCTATACATCTAATCCTGTGAGTTTATTTAAAGAAAATATCAGTCTCAGTTATCTCACTGCTCTGGTGGACAATTGTTACCCGAGATGAAACTGAGGGGAGGGATTACGGATTATTATCTGTCGCTCTCTTTATCAGCTGAATGCGGCTGATTGGATTTTAATGAAAAATCGCGGACGGACGCGTGGATGCTCCTCTTAGATGCTGCTGCAAATCATGGCGAGCAGCAGTTTGTGTTAGTCTCTGTATCTCACATGTCATCTTCTGCACTGAGAGTGAAACATCTGGACAGCACAAAGAAACACACACAAACATTAACTCCAGACTCCATCAGCCCGTTTGGTTCAGGTCTCCAGAGAGTTGGTGCTTTTGGATTCAGCGGGCGTCGCCGACAGCACTCGAGCATCCAGCCCGCCCCTCCCACTGGGTGTTGAAGCATTCCATTGCTCCGCCCCATCTAAAGCTCCGGGCTCATTTTATTTCAATTAATTAGCATAAATGTATGTGTATGAGCCCACCCCGCCCCCCCCTCCCGTCCCCTCCATCACAATCTAGCATGCAAATGTTAATTAGAAATTGATGGATTGCAGGAGGGTTTAAAGTAATGACATCCCGGGGGGGGGGGGGGGGGGGCTGTAATCCTCACCGACTGTGTAGCTTCTGTAGCACAATGTGTGTAGAAACGCACCTTCAAGCCAAAGTTGTCTGCCACAAATAACGCACATCAAGTGTGGAGATAAACAGAGGAGCATATTAAGAATTCATCAGAGTAAATTTGAGGAGGAACAGATCCTGAGTTACTGAGGGTTGGTTTTTTTTCCTCCAGACTTCAAAAGGGCTGGAAACACTTGCTTGGAGGAGAGAAAGTCAATCAGTCAATGTTTTTCTTTACAGTCTTTATCACTGAGGCTGTGTGGACGTACGTAGGTTTCTTTCATGATTTAAAACCTTTTCAAGAAATTATCGACGGGATCATCACTGCAAACACAATCGTGTTTGATTTGCTTCAGACTGTTTTCATCATTTATCGACATGAACCAACAGGTTGTTTATTAGATTTCTTTTTATCACGAGGTGAAACTGCTTCACATCAAGATACAGTTTGGATATGACACTGAAAATGAACACTCACGTCTTTGAAACTGCAAACTGTGACATCATGTCTATGGGAAATGTTGAAGAAACTGATGTTTGGAACAAAACAATAACTCGCGTGTGTGAAATGATAATTAATACATTTCGTGATATTGAGTATTATTTCAACTGCACCATTTTCATTGGAAGTAGAATTACTGCGATGTGGTCGTATCCCTCCACCAAGCAGAGCAGTTCCAGTCTTGTTATTTCCAGACTCGTGAGGTCACTGTGACCAGAATCAGTTCGTCTCGGTTCAAATTTGAAGAAATTCCCTCAAGTTCAAATTGAGAGGCCAAAAAATCTGATGTGGTCAGAATGACCTTGTTTTCCGAGTGAACGTTTATTCCAAAGTTAAATAAATTCACTTAAGTTGTTCTCTAGATATCGTGTTCACGAGATTATCTTTAGATTCTACAGCATCAGCTCAAATCTTGGTTTTGAGAATCTCTTCCAGTCGAAGCATTGACAATGGTCCCATTTAAAAGGGTAAGAACCTTATGATCACAATAAAGCACGGCCCCTCATTGTTTTCACTCTCAATGTTCGGCCGCCTCTGGCGAAGGAAAGACCCAAATCAAACTGGAAACAACCCGACAAAGAACTTAGTTGAAGAAACGAGCGAGGGAGCATTAAACTCTTCAGGGACGAACCGTGAACGTGTCACATAACGACTCTTTGTTGGAACTCGTGGTGATGATGTGGTCGCTGAACTGTGGGGACAGTGTTCACAGATACAACACAAACACTCTCTACATTTCTTTCCCATAAAGTGATAATTTCCTCGCCGCTCTGCTCAGATCGAAGTTGCTTTAATGCCGAGCCCCAAATGTCTCACGCTGCATTTTGTGTAGAAAATTACCCCGACGCAAAATGTTTATTTCATGGCACGGAATTCGTTATGTGCACATAATACACCACGGGGCACCGAGCGTCGCTTTCCACGGGACGTAATGAATTTCTTGCAACAAAATGAAGAAAGTGAACGAGTAGTAATTATAATATAATTACCATATCATTAACATATTAATTTGCAACACTCAGGAGGAAATGCACTTTGATGAAACACTTTGTGTCTTTTGTGTGGCACAAGATGCACTTAAAGGAACACGCTGCATGTGACACGTAGCACTTCATAACCTGCCGCATCAGTCGACTTCTACTTCAACCAACAGATTTTTCACTGTGACTAACATGCGGCTGTTTAAACCAGAGAAACATCAGGTACTGCGTCGTTTTGTATTAATGCGCTGAGGTTTTTGAAACATCTCCTTCCACCTCGGCTGCTGTAAAAAGATGAGAAACCATTTTTACACCTTTTGTAATTTCTGTTCCACAAACTATTCTGAATCCACGAACATGGGTTGTGTTCCACCCGTCCACAAAATTTAAAGGTACAGTGTGTGGAATTTAGTGACATCTAGTGGTGAAGTGTCATGTTGCAGCTGAACACCCCTCACCTCACCCTAACCCTTTCCAAAAATGAAAGAAAACATGGCGGCCTCCGTAGAGAGGGTCCCCTCCAATTAAATATAAAGTATTTAAATATAAAGGGCATTTTCTGGGTTCATACAATTTAGATGAAACAAACTAGTGAAAACATCATGTGGATTATTTTATTATACATTTCTGACAATTGTTCCCTTTCATCTAAATCTTACACACTGGACCTTTATTGGAAAGTATTACTAGTTCTACTGTTTGTGGATTTAGAGAATATATATCTTGAATTTGACAACACGTATGTCTGTGTCTCTACAAATGCATCTGTCTGTGTGTCACCAGCATGTCCATGTGCTCTGGATGTGTTTCTCAGCGTGGCTTTGTCATCGGGGGCTGCAGATCCACTCGTCTCCATCCTGACATGACACATACTGCTGTTTTATGACCAAAGGGGTCTGGATGTTTGTTTTACTGTCAACAGAGAAGAAAAGACAGAGGGAGAGTGAGAGGCAGTGAGAAGGGTTAAAGAGAAGGATGGATCTTTATGTGCACAGTGTCAGAACCCCTGTGAGACAAGAATGGAACAGCCCGTCGGCTCAGACAGGTGTGTTACATGTTAACACTCCAAAATAAAACGCTTCGAAAATCTGAATGTTAACGTGCATATTCATGTTTTCTAAACCCAAAGATGTTATTCACGCAAATGGTTTTCAACAAACTGAATAACAGAAGTAGAAACAGTGACCGAGGACCGAGAAGGATTTTTTAATTTCTCAAACAATCCACTCATCAACCCAGACAGATAAAAAAAACAAAAACACGTCTGTTCATAAATGCTGTTAAACTCCAGCGTGAATACAGCAGAGCTCACAGAGGCATCAGGGCGACGGCCAGAGTCCTTCAGCAGCTCGATGACTCGTGAGAGAAACTACGGCCGCAGAGCTGGAGACAGCAGCGCGGGTCTCATCCGTCAAAATGGCGAGCGCACAGAGACGCACAAACATTACGCGTCATCGTTCAAAGTAAATGTCACAATGTCAGTTTTTCTAGAAGCAATAACATGAACCTGTTATTGATGCGAAGACACGTGACAATACTTTGATTGGGAGTGGTTTTAGACGTTTGGGACATAAAGACACTCGTCAAATATTTTAAAATTCATATGTTTTCTCAGAGTGTAAAACAAATACGATCTGCAACAAAGGGAAACATCTCTCCGTCATCCATTATCTTGGAAACAGAGACATGTTGGGGACAATAAAAGTATTGAATCACATTTGGATCCAGATGCAAGAGACTAGTTATTACGACTGTAAATAAAATATACATTTTTATTTTTTAAAGCTCAGTTTTTATGATGCATAAGGCTCAAATAAAATATTTAGTTTATGTTCCTCTACATAACATTTATGAGCATTTAAATACATAAAGGTTTATATTACACTATTGTTAGTACTCAGTATCTCTACTGTAAATACATATTTTCTGTTGTTCAGTTTGTCTGCAGACGATACTGAATTCGTCCGCCCCACTTTCTGCAAGCTCCATGTTCTTGGCCTGAACCCCCAATAATCTCACTGAAGCAAATAAAGAATTAAGAAAACATCTGTCGTGTTTCCCGCTGTCAGGCCAGTGTCATTACACGCTTATTAACACATTTATCGCCAGGGAGAATGCACGGACGGTCCATTGGCAGCGACATCAAATGTTCAAACCCTGTTTTGCACCGTTCTCCAGAGATGGATCACAGTCCCTGCACAAAGCTGTCCTGATTAAGTCCCCGTGTGGCCGGGAAACGCTCTCCTCCTTGATCTGCGTCTCTCGCTGACCTGATTCTCTCTCCGCGGACACGTTCCCTCTGTGAGAGAGCAGCTTGTGAAGATTCCACGCATTTTAGTTCCTTTTAAGTTGCACTTTAGTTGCATTTCAGCAAAATGTCGAGCGAACGTCAGGGCTGTTGGACTTTAAATGCTTCTGTGCGGCAACGTTTTGATCGTATGTTGGTCGCTCTTGACGTGACCTTAAAAAAAAAAAAGTTACGAAAAGGCTGCGAGTGTATTGCCCAAAAAATGTCAAACTCCTGACAGGAGACGTCAGAGTAAAGAACACTCGCAAGGGAGATGATGAAGGTGTGTGACCTTTTCTATGTGGGGGATATGATTCTGGGTCTGGAAGCTTCTTCTCTTTTCATTTCTACTTTGACCAACCGAGCCCGCAGGTAGAACCGTCCGTGTGGAGAGCAAATGAGGCAGAACACATTGACTGAAATGATTTTTAAGAAGCGATTTAAAAGAAGCCACGGCCTCATCTCCTCTTTTAGTTTGTTCCAAAGCCGAGGGGGCCCTGATGGCAAAAGCACGGTCACCTTCAGTTTCCAGTGTCGACTTTGGAACAGCCGGCACGGCCCCACCTGAGGATCCAGGGCTGCGAACATAAGGGGTCAACATTTCTAAAGTTAAGTCATAATTATCCTCCATATTCATTTAATCCTTTTATGATCGAAGTCAATAACACGGAGGAAATTATTTACGACTGAGGCGACAACCCCTCTGGATTTATTGGATCATATATAACCCCCGGCTACCATAACATTAAGCCGTCTCCGTGGCGACATAACGATGCCAGCTTGCAAAATGTACAGCCGTTTAAAAGATGGCAGGCATTAAATACGAACGTGTGACATTTTGAGAGAATCGCTCACAGTGAACAGTGACCATGACGACCGGCCTCCGTCTGCGTGAGACGATTCAGCCCAGTGAAACTACCTGGAGACAGAAACGAGAGCCAGCGAGTCTGAGTCATGTCGACATCAGCTTCACGTTGCCGTCTCCCGCGCTGCTCTCATATAATATACAGAGATCCTCTCAGAAAGACTGTCTTTGGGGCTTCTTCTGTGTAAATGTCATCCCACTCCAGACGTCACTCTGAAAATGTCACCCCGCCACCCTCTTCATTAGCTCACCAGCTCTCCTCTCGATTATACACCATTTTCCATTAGAGGGATCACACACCCAGGGCAAGGTTCTCCTCGAGTCGCACGGAACCGAAGTGTGATTTCAAGGCTGAGAGGACGGCTGTTCTGGCGCTCGCCGTTCTGGTTTTGATGTTGTTTGCTGAGCCGTGATCACCTGTTATTGAAGATTCGCCGTCGGTTCCCAGCTCCGCGCTGCCGCAGAAGAGTGCAGGGTTGTGCGAGCAGTCAATCATGTCTGTGGGAGAAGAAGGAGAACGATGCAATTTAGATGTTTCTGCTTCCTGGACGGACGAGTTGGTTAACTTCACTGAACTCTGGACATTTTGCGAATCTGCTTAAAAGCAGTGAGAATAAAAGTTGTTGTGTTTTTATTTATCTTCCGTCTTGGAAAATGTATTTTTTTGCATGAACACATGTTTTATGTTTATATTCATGTCATATTGTGTAGAAACAGATTGAAGTGAGTTTAACTAAACTATTTTACGAGGTCATTCCATCATTGTGTTTTTATTTAATTATTTAACGTTTTTTCTATCTACTTTATTTCTATTGTTCATTTGACCTGTTTTAATATTTACACAGATTTTTTTTTCCTATTCCTCTTTTATTTTTTTATCTGTTTTATTCCACGCGTTTTTTCCCCCTGATTTTAAATCGATTTATTTTCATTTTGTTTTTCTGTTTTGTTTTTTTGTTTGTTTGTCCCTGTGCAGCACCTTGAATCTACCTGTGTCTGAAATGTGTTTTAAATTTGTTTTGGAAAAAAAATTATATTACATTTTTTTTGCAAGAAAGCAGGATTTTCTCAAAAGAAATGAAATGAAAACCTTTAGATGACAGAAAAATGAAGGAATGTTAAGGAACATTACTTTCTCACATTAAAATGCCAAATAAATTACAGTTATATGAGATATTACATTACAAATAAGCTCCAAGCTGCGCGCTTTGACCAATCAACTTTCTGAACATGGTTCTGTGAAACAAACCATCTGAAATATAAAATGTACCCACACAGTGATATGCTCCTGTGTATTACTCCACACCTGAGAACAGTTCTCTTTAAAATGCTTACAAATGTTAGTTTTTCTTCAAGTTTTTTACTCAGCGTTCCTTTTAAAACTGAAACAGCCACTTCATGGAGCACTTAGAGGCAATGGTGGGATTTTAATTTCAGCTCCATCACACTTTCTGCCTCAAACTGCAGCAATGCAAATGCTTTTGAAGTTTGAAACCCCTCAGCATCATCCACATTTGTATGATGATCCTGTCTCAGCTCCGTGCTGAAGGGCTCCTGACTCTACACCTTTTCAGTTTTGGCTTTTGAAAACAAGAAAAACATTGAACAACAGCAGCCGCATCCTAAAATACAAAAAAAAATATTATGGACAGTGTGATGAACCCAAGGTATTTATCTTTCAAAGTGAACATCTGGTTCTCTAATATATTCTCCAATTATGGTGCAGTGGAACGAGAGGTGGATGGATCCCAGTGACCAGAGCATCATCCAATCACTTCTTATGCACATGTCTAATACCGTCTTCTCCGTTTCTCATACATCGGTGCCCGACTCGATCAAAATTAAACCCATTTTTCAATGTCTGCTGTCCGTCAACGTCAGCGCCCTCCTCCCTCTCTCTGTGGACCGAGAGTCATATTTGCTAATGAGTTGATCTGCTGCTGCCATGGCAACAGGTCCATCACTACAGAGCGTGAAGCAGGAGTGGCACCCTTGACACAAACCCCATAAACACAAGACACCCGGGCTGATCATCCACGATGCATAATGCAGTGGCATAACCCTCATCCAGACGTTTTTCCCTCTGTCCATCTCTTCATTCTGACGTTTTTCTTTGCTCACTCCCACACTCTGCAGTCATCCGTCCCATCTGGTCTAATCACGTTTTTTTCCCTGTGGGCCCCACAACTACCCCGAAGAAAAGAAAGTAGAAGAAGACAGAATGGAGGAGGAGGAGAGTGCACGTTAAAGTTCACGTTTGGCCTCCGTGTGACCGAAGATGAAAAATGTAGGCTGTCAAGTCCAAGATGAATATGAATAGAATCCCTGAGTCCAAAATTAAAACTGGCCAAGCAGCTCCTGCAGGTAAAATGTGCCTGTGGTGAATAATTTAACTCAGCAGAGGGGAATGTACGGACGTCTTTCACCTAATAACAATATATCTGTTATTTACGGCAATTTGAGGTTCAGTGTCTTGACCATGGAGGAGTCAAAGATCGGACCACTGACCCTCTGGTCAGGGTTGAAGTTTAAATTATACTGTACATCCGTCTCTGTGACGAATGGATGAATTCTGAAGTATCTGAGCTGAAGCATCATCAAGGAAAAGTCTTTACAGCACAAACCAGCCGCTGCATTTTTAATAACTAGACTCTAGAAAACGAGATACAGATACAGTTCATCTCCTGATTGAGAAATATGAGCTTCGTGGAAACCGTTAAACCAACTCCAACGGAACAAACATTAATTTACAGGAAATCTACTGGCAAACACAAAAACCTGAGGAGAGAGCAGACGTTTAGTTCTCATCCGAAAAATTATGAGAAAAGAGGATTTTGAAAGAAAAGCTTTTGCAAAAACCTTCATCTCTTTGTCAGAGTTAATATGTGGCTACAAGTATTAAGTTTAAAGTGAGAATCAATATTTGCATTTTGCATCGCTGGGTCTAAAATTACAGTCAAGCAAAGATTAGTAACCCTTGTTACACTTTTTAATAAGTTCATAGATGCTGTGCTTGGTTATCCATAAATGAGTGTACATGTAAACCGCAGGTTGAGCAGGTGAAACACTAGTAAAACATGAGTAATACACGAGTATAACAGTAGTAATACTTCAGTATAACAGTAGTATAACATCTTTGTCTGCTGCTCTAAGGCAGAGCCGAGTATCGCCGTCCCTCAGCTACAGGTTTCAGTGTCAGCTCACCAGTCAACCTACAGGGACCATCTTTCTAATTACACAAAGGTTGCCCCGGCACCCTTCTCGCCACGACGTGACCAGATGACACCTCTCTCTCTCCCATCTGTCCGAGCCTGCCGACGCCTCGTGGAGCAGAAGCGGCACAGATTGTGACTCTTGCGTGACTTCGCAGGCACAGCGGGCCGCGATGCTCCGTCAAGCCTCAGCGGTCCTACGCCCCATATGACCCTCTCTAGATGTGAGAACGCGGCGATTGCACGAATGCTCAGTTGGGTATCTCACAATCTGTGATAAATGTGTCACCATTTTACCCACTTTGCAGTCAGGACATGCACTTCACGCTCTGGCTGGAAGTCGTGACACGGCCTCCACAAAGGTGTGACCGGTCCTCCCTTTTCTTTTCCGGTTCTAAAACCAAAAAGCATCTTTTGTTACAGCACATGAATCTACGACAGAGTATTGGGGCCGAGACATAATATGAAGAGAGTAATGTCATCATTTCAAGTGTCATTTTAGAGGAGGGACATCAGGACATCAGTTTGTCACCTGCGTTAAAATCTGGAGCATCTTGTTTATATTTTACTTCAGGTATAAAGAATAAGAAATAACCAAATACTTAATATCTTTAAACACATGGAACAGATTTTATTCCCTTTTTTTATCTCTCGAAATAAGACTCATTAAATCATGACTCTTGTTGCAGTATTGTTACGTTTATCATCAAATTAACTCAGCTAACATTACGACTTTCTTAATTACGACTTTATTCTCAAAATCTCAGAATTTTGTTTTCTTTCGATATCGACCTAATACTCTGTTGTATAAACCTGAGAGTGCAGAGACGATGACAAAGTGTCACTCGTCTCAGTAATTATTAATTTTAGGGTTTCTGCATTTCACATCCCGTACACTTGACGTAGACAGTAAATCGTTTTTTTGGGTGGCCACTAGGGGGAGGAGGAACTTTTACCTCAGAAGCACTTGGGATAGAACTCTATGGATTTAAAATCACGTTGGGCTTTGTGTGGCAAAGCCGTGACCCCGTTAGACATTTTGTTTCCTCGAGCTTCATTTTTCATTGTATGACATGGTAATTACACTTCATGTTGTGCTCTGTGGACCCCTTTACATCAGACTCTGCTCGTTAAGGGCCTTTGGTAACGTTATAATGTGCAGTCATTATTGCAGGCATCATAAAACACAAGCGGGCACTGAATCTGCGAGTATTTTTTCCATTAGCGTGGCATAATGTGTTAGTGATTGAGTCTAAAGATGTGGAAGAACTCTCATATTTATAAAGCAAGTGAGGAAATAAATCTGTTCACCAACATTAGACGCCAAAATGACAAATATGCTGAACTCGTCAGACTGATAGCATGAAATTAAAGCTAATTGCAAGAGTTTGCATGGATTAAGTCAGGAACTTAAGTGATGCTGGTTCACATGACGGAGTTCACAGTTGTTGTTGAGTTCACAGTTTTACAGTTTAAGTATCAATGTTGCCCGTTCATTGTAAATGTGTAATTTCTCTTCTATTCGCTGGTGAATCCAGCAAACGCAAAGATCCGCAGTCCGGTCGACTTATTTCCAGTTTATCAAGTATACTAACAAAGCAACGTGACCTGAACGATAACGACAGATTGCCACCATCAATCACAATTCTGACTGCGAGACGCGGGCTCGCTCTGCGTCCTTTCCACTCAGTCTGCTATCTCTTAACTTACATAACCTCTGGAGCCCTCGGGAGGCTGCGGAGGCTGGCTGAGATTGTATCAGTGCACAGGTCAAGGGAAGGTGATGACTAATTCATGAGGCTGTTTGCGAGGAACCTTCGTCGAGTCATTAGTCGTCTGTCAGCTTCCGCTCAAGCAGCCTGGAGAGTGGGGCAGCGTGGTGTGTCATGATGTGGCGTTCATGAACAAGACCTCTTTTTGCACTTTAGACATTTTAGTCGTAAGGAAAGCATGAAAGGGAAATCATGTAGGGTTTCCTGAATGCAACATAGTGTCTTTCAGAGATGGTCCACCCCGAGAACATCAGACCTTCAGTTAAAAACCTCTTTCACACTTTTCGTCTGGATCGTAGAGTAGAGACGGTTCAATGGAAGGAAAAGACAACCCTGTTTGCTGGTGGGTCTGTTATCACTAAACTAAATCTACACACTTATGTATCGTGTACACAATCCATTTGTTGTGCAGTGGGAGTCGTGCCGTGTGCGACCTTGAGATCAAGAGCCTGTTTTCATAATCTGATGACTCTGAGCAGCCTGGGATTTGTAGAAAAGTAAAAAGGTTACGACG